TCGAATAAAGCGGATATGTTGAAGAGGATCCGAATTTAATCCGAATGGCCTTTTGAAAATAGGATCGAAACACTAATATATATCACTAATCATAAGTAGAGTTTGACGATAGCACTCTACGTGACAATTAAGTAACAATAATACATCATTTTGGCGATTCCCTTTTAACATAATTTTTACCTTAATAATTATTTTAACTTTTTTTGTAAATCATAAAATTCAAATTAAACTTTATAAAACTTTGAAGATATTTTAGCAGCCACCAAGTCAAGAATCCATAGAATTTAAGTAAATAAATAAATTTCATCAAATTTGGTCTGGTGAATGCTGAGATATCTTCGCTCAAAGCTTATATAACTCGGAAGTTTTTAACTTTGAGCGAAGATATCTCAGCAACCACCAGGTCAAATCCGACGTGCTTTTTTTTATTTGAATCCCATGAATCCATAGAATTTAAATAAAAAAGTTTAATGAATTTGATCTAATGGTTGCTGAAATATCTTTACTGAAATCAGTCGAGACTCTTTAGATTTGATTGAGAATCAAAAACGTTACAGCAAATAAAACTTATAATGATAAATTTAAAAGTATTTGTGAAGAAAAAGTATAATCCTTTATTAAATTATCTACTATAAATTATTTCCAATGTGTTATTACTGCGTCATATAGGACTAGCAAAACATCGCCATGGTGTTAAAATCCTTATTTCTTCCCAAAACAAGTTTTCAGAAACAAAGCTAACTAAATTTTGTTTTTTTAGCTTTATGTTCATCTGAAGAATTAATAGTCCTTTTTTGTGTTAAGCTTTCCTTTCTAAAATACTCCTTTCTCTCTCTCTTTTCTTTTTCTGCTAATAACGCTTCTAATTTTGCAGATTTTTTAGCATATACTTCTCTTCTTTCAGTTTGCTTTATTTTACGTTTTCTATCCTTTTCTTTCTTTAATGTTTGAATTTGTTGCATAAGTGTGTATACTTTTTTCTCTTGTGGTTCTAAAACCACGGCACGTCTTTGTATGTATGTCTGCCTAGATTGTTTTTTCAACAATTTGGGTTTAGAGGCAAATGGTAATCCAGCTTGTAATGACTTTGAAATGTGAAGCGGATTGAAACGACGACTTGTCCGTTCAATTTTCTATTATTAAGCCATACCATTAAAAATACAATCCTATATATTTAAATTGACAAAACAAATAATGTACTAAGTACTTACTCGATATTGAGAATCGGGATTAATAGGTGTTTTAATGTCTAAATCTTTTCGAATTTCACCAGTCAAACGCATGCCTTGCCATTTTGTCTTTGTCGATAGTAGCAATGACGTTACAGGGTTATAAAATTTCTTTGGTGTAACAGGATACCAAGCTCGAAGAAACGCAATATCTATATGATGCGAATTAGTCAAGCATAACCAACATTAATGAATAATTAAATATCTAATTACCGCTCATTAAAATTTTATCTTCAAAAGTAGCTCTAAAATGTCCTTCTGGCTTCTATATTAAAATAAATTTGATTCAGTAAAAAGCATTTATAGTGATTGATGAACAGTGTTAACTCACAGATAATGGCTTTTTTACTTGTCCACGAATACCAGACACAGTCCTTATTGCAGCACCTTCGAATTTCGCTACTTCCAATGCAGAAGTAAACATATCTTTTATGAAAGCAGTATTTTTGAATATTTTGTAAGGTGTACCAACCAGTTTCAATTTTTTAACAATTTCAAATGAATGATTAATGTCAAGAACCGTTCCTGTGGCACTTATACGAAATGTTGCCTAAAAAGCGTTAATTGATAAAATATTGGCGAATTATTAATTAATTGAAGTAATAAAAAGACAAATCCATTTCAGTTCACCAAGAACTTACTACATTGTCTTCTGATACAGATTGTACCGCACAAAAACCAGTGTTTGGCGGATGAATAGGTCCTAATAAAAATCAACAATGCAATCAATAATTAAAATAATAAAGAGCCCTAAGGTAATGCATAATGTGTACCATATATGGTTGCTATGCAATGCATATGTTCTGGTGTATATTTTAGCATTCTGTTTCTTGTATTATCATTTAAAGAATAAATGGGTATCGATTGAAAACGTCTCCAACCAAGAGAAAATATGAGCGGATCCTTATTCTTTAGGATTTTTTTATGCCACCTGTGACGTTTGATGCGAACCTAAAATATGGTTATATTAGTGACAATAAATATTTGCGCAAACGTTAACAACAAGAATTGTTTTTTATTATATAACAAAACCTGGATAAATCCCAAGTTCTCCTCGGCAGTCAGCAGCCCTCCAACAATTACTGGGTACACTGGGTCAAAGTAATTGACAAACTCACAAGGCACTCCCTTTAATAAAATTCGAACGTAAGTTCCTGGACGAAACCCCTCAACCATTATTCTAGTATGTGGATCATCATCATCAAATTCTTCACGATTCAGCTGCAATTGTTTTGAAATTTCTTCTTTCAATTCATCATAAAAATCGGTTTTAGCCGTATCATCTTTGTTATCATATTCTGCATCAAACTTTTTCTTTAGTAAAATCCTTTTTTGAGCAAGAGTTTCTTGTTCAAGTTCTTCCTTTGCTTCTTCTACTTTTTTTGATTGCCTCACTTTTACAATTTCACCGGTCTCAAGGTCTTCAAAATCACCACATGCTTCATCATCCTCATTGTTATCTGAATTATTCAACCCAGTGGAGTTATCATCTTCAAGACTTCCTGTAATAAATCTGTTTCTTATAGATTCAAGGACCTATAATAATTTAAAAATATACGGTTTATTTAAAGGTTTATAGAGTTACTCTGGATGTACCGTAAATTCTCGAAATAGCGGGCATGTTTGTTATTTCGAAAATAGTACCCCTTAAAAAAATAGCATAGTTAGTTTCGAAGTAATGCCCATGCGCGTCCCGAAATAGCGCTCACCTCGAATGAATAAGTATCAGGTAAATATCGGATACAAAACTCCCGATATGCATCTGATTTTACTGCTTAGATCCGCATATATGAGTAATGGCAGTAAATCATGTGCACATCAGGAGTTTTGTATCTCGATATTTATCTGATACTTATTCATTCGAATATAGTAGTTGACGTATTCGAAATAACGCTCAGATGCCCGCTATTTCAAGAATTTATGGTATAGCCATAATACTAACAGTTTCATCATCCCATTCATCAAGGCTTTCGATAACAAAGCATGATTTAGAAGAATCAATCGCCTCTAATATCTTGGCATTTCCGGTATCATCATTTGCAATTCTGAAGAAATCTTCTTCGTGTTTAAGAGGGCACTCATAATTTTTACTCTTAGCATCCTGTGTTGAATTTGAAAGGCTATTACATGCTACTTCATCAGGTACCTCCTCACCATAAATTAATTGCATAATATTCACTCTGCGATTCGCAATGAACATCTTTTCTGCCTTATTTGTTAAATTGGATTTCCACCTTAATGCTCCGTCAATGTCAGGCCTATTCTCATCCAGCTCTTCATCATTCTCAGCACTTATATCACTATCACTTTCAACAAATGCAATTTCTTTACTGATATTGCCTTCTGAATTTCCCATATCATGCTTGTTCAATGCCACTCTTCTATCAGATTCATTTAATCCATCATTTACATAATTGACGTCATCATCATCATCATCTCCGACTGCATCATCACTGTCATTAAGAGAAGCACATTCATTATCGTTTTCTATTGAAGAATTTTCTTCACTCATGTAAGTCTCTTCGTTTTCATCATTAAATGTTACTCTTCGTCGTGTACGTTCAAATTTGTTATTTTCAGTTGATTCTGTAGTTACAAGAGAAATTATTGTCAACCCCACAAATCATAATGATAATAGTACTATTATTATTAGATAATTTCATATTACCGTACAGTTTTTCATTCAAATCAGAAGCTTTTAAAGGGACAGAATTTGCAAAAATAGAAAGCGATGCTTCTTGTAATTTAGATGCAAGTGTGTCTGAGGCATCTTGCAAACTGATCACCATTCTTTCACCTGGCCCCTTCTCAAATTCTGCTGGATATCAAATGTGTTAAAAATGTTGAAATATTAGCAAATCACAATAATTATTTCCCACAACCTTCGTTATCATCTGTCTTTGTAAAACTCCCCGGAATGTTGATATATACTGCATCTTTGTCATACATAATCCCACCGACATCTGACATTGGGGCATAAATAAGCTTTTGCTTTTCGCTTAAGCTCTTTCGGGCTTTGTCAGGTAATGGGCATGGATCAGGAAGAATTGAAATATCCGTCAAATATTGATCGCCAGCACCAGGGATATGTACCTTTACAACAGACGATTTTGAATGTATTAAGAATACAAAAAACATAGGCCAATATTAATTTGGGTCACATACCCTTATATTGGGTTTCATGTTTGTTCCACGTAAATATCCATACAAAGTCACTGTACGATCACATACTGGATTCTGCCGGACTTCCTCAGGATCAGTTAAGTCCTCTACACGATCAGCGACTAAATATGGATGTGTGTTTCTCCATATTAAAGGTCGAAATTTCATTACAGAAATAAATCTTGATAGATTTTGAATTTCTTGGTTTGGATATCGACCATTTATTATTCCGGAAAGATAAAAAAGCTTTGCACCTTGATAAATCTCCGTCCAAAACCGATGCTTTAACCGTTTTTTAGTTGATTTAAGTGTTTTATTATTTTTGAATTTGTCCAGATGTGTAAGAACCCCCATGATTTTTGGAAAACCATGAACTTGCAGTATATTTAAAAATTCGAAAGTTTCCTATAGAGAATTTACGATAATAATTATAGAGAATATGGATCATGATTAAATTATAAACTTTTTGAAATCCATATTTACCATTTCGAATCCAAAACTTGCATCAATCAATAGTAATACTAAATCTGCTATTTTGGCAACATCGATCATGCAATTCATATCATTGGCGCATTCAATAAACGTTATCCTCCTTTTTTTGCCTTTAATATATTACAAGAAAATATAATAATGTAACATTAATGAATTACTGAAAAAAAAGTCTTTAGTAATAATTACCACTAATGACTGTGATGGGTCCCTTAACCTCTGTAAGATTGTGCTTAGTATATCGTTTCACAAGGGATTTTATTAACGTCGATTTACCAGTCTGATAATTTTCAAATAATATTAATTTATTATTAAAATTGGTAGCGCACTTTTTTTTTGTTGACTCGTGTAAAAACATACCTGAGGTGGTCCAACTACTGCAACAACAACTGGAGGTGGTTCCAGTGGAGTTCGATCTACGAGTGGAACATGGAGCTTCTTTTGGATTAATTCTTGTTTACGCCTTGCAAGTTTATCAGCTTTTCTTCCGGATGCTGGTGCAAAAGCCTAAGTTCGAATAAATTAATCAGTAAAGATATAATTTACAAATGATGTTTGTCTTCCATACTTTGGGGTTTTTATCTTCGAATTTTTTCTGTTTCTTTGTTTTTTTATCTTTCTTGGCGCCAGATTGGCGCGGCCTATGAGTTTTTTGTTCCTTTGTATCCATTCTTAACTTCTGAGAAACTATAGTTCTTTATTTATGATAAGAAACATCAGAACAGATGTCACATGTTGGTTACATTTTCTTAAAAGCCATCACTAGGTTACTCTTATAACAAAAATTGATGGCAGCATGATAGAAATTTGTTTTAATTGGTTAAGGGTTTGTGATCTACGTGTAGATGATACACAAACATGAAGTATTTTAGATCCAATAAAAATAAGCATGGTGGACAAACTCCGTTACACAAGCTTTCTAAATCTGTAAATCTTGACTCAGCGATGACTCAGTGCCAATCCGACCAATGAAATTGTTCGATTTTTATAATATTAACATAGTCTTTGCTTCGCTTCACTTACCCAGTTTCAATTTGCTTACTAATTACCGATCCACTAATGCTTTTACTTTTACCACAAACAATTGCATTAGTTACTTTTTTTTATTTTTTTGTAACATTATATACAGTCAGATCCCCTAAATGCAATTCCCCTAAGTGCACGTCCTATGAAACGTCTCTCTAAATGCACGTCTTCTCTTGGGCCAAACTAATATTAAGCCTATAGATTTTTACCTCTCTAGCAATATCTCTTTAAGTGCACGTTTGGCTAAGTTTTTACCTCCCTAAGCAATATCTCTTTAAGTGCACGTTTGGCTAAGTTTTAATATATGGTCTGCCGCATTGCATTTAGAAAGATCCGACTGTATATTAAAAGAAGTAAGTTAAATTTCAAATTATTACACAGTATGCCGCTTTATTTTATTTTATTTTATACTTACATGTTTAGTAAGTTTACAAATTTTATAGTATAGCGATCTCAAATATATGAATTAACTCAAGCGCTACAACAAATGTGTAAGTATTTGATGAATTGGATTCTAAAAGAATTGGAAAATATGCAAATTCCAACCGATAGAACACTTCTGAAGCTTGATGTCAAGCGTGTAACTCTTAAAAAATAATACAAGGATGAACAAGCGAAAACAATGATGTTGATACTATATTAAAGGGTTTCAACTTAGAATTATGGAATATGAAGATGAATCGAATGGATCCTTTTAGCATAGATTAGATAACATTCAAAAGAATAGAAACAAGTCCTTGGCAAGGTGGTTAGACGGCGTATGAATAATCACACGTAGAATAATGGGTATAGGTGGTTCATACACCATGTAGAGATAGACGATTACTTAGAATTAACTAGTTATTCAAGAATCTCGTTAAACGAATGATTGATTACAAGCACTTTTTTTTTTTTTTTTTTTTTACATGTATAGTATGTAATTATTAAGTAATAAATGTAATTTTATTTTATTTATTTACCAAAAATAAAACTGATAGTATTACATTAAAAAAAATAAATACTTTTTTTTATTGATTAAAATATTTAATTCAAAATTACATTGAAAAAAAAAATATAAATTCTAAATATTCAAAAATCTTTCAAGAGCCGTAGAATAAGCTTGCTCCACTCTCGGTAATGCTTGCTTATCTTTTCGAAGCACTTCTAATATATCATCTTCATCCGATATCATCTGATCTTGTGGACTATCATCGTCGGCATCAATAAACTCCTTTAGATTCGACTTCTTAGTATCTAATTTACTTAATCGTGAAAGAAGAGATGAAACATTAGTTTGTATACCTAATTTGAGAACATTTTCACAATAAAGACATTTTTTGTTTAATGAAATAGTGAAACAGCTCTCATGGTATCCATGACCGCATGCGATAACCATAGAGCTTTTACCTGTCCCATCGTGTAATAGCATATGACAATGATCACATTTGTCATATGCTGGCAAATGCTCGCTGCTGAATCCTAATGGCATTTGCTTTTTGTCCACAGTAAAATCTAATGATGCCAGCTTATAGGTGATTTTTTCATTCCGACCCTTGATGATGGAGCTTTGACCAAGCTTTCGATAAACATTACCGAAGGTTTCAAGAAGAAACACCTCCGCTTTTTTCATTAATAAAGCTAAATGATCGTTATCTGCAAATGTAGATTTTTTTTGAACGACGAATACATCTTCAAATCCACTAAGAGTTTTTCTGGCGTCAACAATTTTGGCTGTTTTAGAAAGTTGTGGGGAATCACAAGATGAGGTCTGGCATCGTATTCTACTATGCATATTTTCAACAGGATAATCTGTAAACTTAACTAAGTGATCTTTTAGTACATCTAATATCGGATGATTATTCTGACTCCAATAGAATATATCTGAAAGAAATGCTAAAGATGCTTTATTATAGTTACACCTTTCAAACCTCAAAAAAATACTCCATGCCTGAAATACGCCTTCGATATATGAATTCTAATCCCAGACCGAAATAAAGTCAAGTATATATCTAACCTGACTGGTACTGTATTGTCTAATAATTCAAATAAAAATAGAAACTCAGTATCTTTACAACATTTATCAAACTTACCTACTATGATTGGTTTGATTTCTTTCCAAGCACCCCTTATTAGCTCTAAAAAAACGAATATTCAATACGGGCTTGGCGTTTTACTTAACATTTTACTTGTACTAAAGACATATTGATACTCTAAATTAAAAAAGTCCTAATAAGTCTTCAAGTAGATTCAATTGGATATGAAGAACGCCGATAATTGGAATAAAAGATAATATATCATTTGGTATATCATTTTTATGATTTAGCAAATGAAGGGTAATGGCTTGTCGAGTAAAAACTTGCCCGGGCCAATTGGCTACAACTGGAATAACACAATCAGCTAAGTAACTAGTTAATAAGAGAATTTTATGAACTTCTGTAAAGCAATAATATACGAATCCATTTCTTTTAAACTTAATTCAAAAAAGTCTAAAAGAATTGTATCTTTCATTTTATGCTCTTCCCGTCGTTCTTTTAGACGATCATCGTATTTGTGAAGAGTCATATTTTCAAGCTTCTTGTCCAAAGATACTTCGTAATGCAACTGATCATTAAAAGTTTTAGCCATTCGTCCCATGTAATAGGAATCTAAATAAGATCAGAATTAATTAGTTTTGGATTATGAATTGATATACTATTTGGTGTGACCTGTGGAATGGCCATCGAATCAATACTATTTAGCAACAAGGTTGTCATATGTGCCACGCTTGATGTTGAGCATGTATCGGGGGTTCGTTTGGTATGAATATTATGATAATCATCAACGTTAAGCACTAAGACATTATTTTTTTTATTCTCCAGATATGAAGTAACCTTATATAGATAATTATCAGCGATAGCTAATTTCTCTCTATCAAGATGCCTTCATGAAATCATTATACTAGCATATAATAAGGCATCGATTGCCTTAGTAGAAACCCCTATCAAATCTACAAAAAGCAAAATATTTTTTTTAAATGCTGTTAGTTTGGAATTTTGGTTACTACAAATAACATAACACTCAACCGCCAATTTTTTATCTAGCTTATCTAAATATTTACTACTTCTATTTTTGGGAAGTGATGCATTATAAATTGAATCAAAGAAACTACTTAGCCTAAACTCTTTAGCTACCATTTCTCTTTGTAGCTGTTTAAAGCTATAAATAACCGGCTCCTGCTCATTTTTTTCTCTATTATACAAAAGTTTCATCAAGATATTAACACAATCTACCCACAAAAGATTATCTTCATTTGCCATAGACTCGTCTCTCAAATTCCAAAGTGGTATAGCTATACACTGATTCCAGCATATTAAATAACACTGATATGCCAGAGATCATTCAAGAGCCCTTCGTTCAGCTTTATTTTTTCTTCCCAAACAAGCCATTTCTTCGATTTCGTTAAAGAAGAAACTCAATTGATCATTCTTGTTTTCGGCAATTAACTTAAACTGAGAAAACATAACAATGGGTGGATCATTGCCTATAACTTCTCTTTCAAAAATAATATTAGTTAGTAACGAAATAGACTCAGACATAGAAAGATTATCATTACGACGCCTTTTTAATACTCTTGCTCATTCAGCTGCATGTTCTATATAAGTGCTTGACCCATTTACTACTGTTATAGAACGAATTTATTATTAGTTTATTATTTTATTATTTTATTATTTATTAGTTATCTTAGAATATATTATTATTAGCTTGTATTATTATTAACATGT